GAGGAACTGTCTAGGCTAGCATTGGGGCACATCTGTGGGCATGCCCGTGAGGGACTGTCTAGGCTAGCCTTGGGGCACATCTGCTAAGGAATATATTGAGTAGATTAACTGATGTAAGAAGGCCTACTCTTGGATCCCAGAGAGCCCAGAAAGGAAGAGGCAAGCTGAGCACTAACACTGTGTTCTCGGTTTCCTGGAGATGCTTCAAGCTCCTGCCTCCATCACTTTACTCTGTGGATTAAACCCTTGAGCCACGGTCCAAGAGAAACCTTCTCTTCCTTAAGCTGCTTTTCCAATATTTTATCGCAGTGATGAGAAAAGCCACTACTAGAATACTGCCCCCGCCCCGATTCTCCTGCCTCCACCTGCCCACCGCTGGGAAAACTAGCAATTCTCCTGCCTCAGTCTCCAAAGTGCTGGGATAACAGGTATTAGCCACCAAGAGCACTAGAAGAAACATAATAAGTATATAAAAGTCTTGATTTATATGTTAAAATATACACATGAATACACTGTATTAAACAAGTGGGTTTCCAAATATAAACTTGCTACTTAGGTTAAGAAAATGTGACTTTACTTGAAATAAGATTTCAAGACTAATTTTCAAGGGTCAGCATCAATGTTTTTTAATTTACCTTTATGTGACTCTTAAAGAGGGTTTTTAATGTTTTAAATTAGCATCTTAAGCTCTTATATCAGTAAAGCATTTTTCTTTTTTGAAATTGGGGGGGGGGGTGGTATTTTCATAACGGAGTTTCTCTGTGTGGTCATGGCTGTCCTGGAACTCAGGCTAGCCTCGGAAATGAAATCTGCCTTCTTCTGCCTCCAGAGTGCTGGGATTAAAGATGTGTGCCATCACCACTCAGCCTCATTAAAGCATTTTTCAAACACACTGCATTTTAGTAATATGTTTTTTCTTCCTTATTTCCCCCACATACTTCAAGTTTTAATTGATATAAGCATGCCAAGTGATTGGTCGTAGCCTTCTACATTTCGGGAGACAGATGATCTCATGCATCCCAGGCTGCCAGACAGGTTGCTATACAACTAAAGATGATCATCCTGCCGGTATTTCCTTAGTGCTGGGATTAGAAGCATGGAAAACACATCCGGATTTGCAGGTCCAAGGGCCTCACACATCCATCTCTACCAACTGAACTACATCCCTGGTCATCAGGCTTTTTGTGATTTTTAAAAAATAAATTCTAGGGGGCTGGAGAGATGGCTCAGAGGTTAAGAGCATTGCCTGCTCTTCCAAAGGTCCTGAGTTCAATTCCCAGCAACCACATGGTGGCTCACAACCATCTGTAATGAGGTCTGGTGCCCTCTTCTGGCCTACAGACATATACACAGACAGAATATTGTATACATAACAAATAAATAAATAAATATAAAAAAATTAAAAAAATAAAAAATAAATTCTAAAGATTTAGATTCATTAACAATGTATTGGATCATGGGAGGCAGGAGAGATGCTCAATTAAATTAAAAGTGCTTGCTGCTCTTGCAAAGCCAGAGATCAGTTCCTAAATCCAGCGCCTAAATCAGACTGCTCAGAGCTCCAAGAATCTGACATTAACTTCTAGCATCTGTAGACACTCACACAAACAAGGACACACACACACAAATAAATAAAAAACTAATTAGAAGAATATGCTGAGCACCTGACAGTGGCCAAGAAGCAAAGACGCATGCTTTACTGGGAACGCCATTACGCCACTACACGGTTGAACGTTACACTGTTACACCATTGCAACACTATGGTACTGACAATAACACTCTTTCACCATTATACAACTGCAGTGCAGATCTTTCTGGTTTTTATTTTTAACCAGGGGGCAGATTTTTCACAGAAATTCGGCCTTAACTTCTGTTAAGCGGACACCATACAACAATATCCAACAGATATTTATCAGACTTCATAGCAAACATTATGAGGCATTGAATGTATCATGAACTGGCAAGATGACCCACTGGCCACTGACCACACAGCCTAACTGCCAGAGAACTGGAACCCATGTAAACATAAAAGGAGAGAGCCAGTCCTGACCTCCACATCCATGCTGTGGCACACACTGCACATGTGTGTACCTACACACATAATAAGTTGTTTAAAAGTCCACAAATCAGCAATAAAGTACAGCAACTACTATAAGGACATACACCCAATGCGAAGAGGAACAGGAAGGGCTAGTGAGACATAGTATTCTAAAAGGAAATCCACTGGGTACGGTGACTATACTTGTAAATTCAGTCCTTGTGAGGTCAAGGCAAGAAGAGGCAGCCTGGGGTAGAAAATGAGTTCTAGGCCAGCCTGGACACAGAGATGAAACACTGTCGCAAAGAGACAAAGAAACAAATGAATAAGAAAGGAAGGAAGAGAGGGAGGGAGGGAGGGAGGGATGTAAAAGTCTAATAACAAAAGAATAGATCATAAGGAAATTAAAGAAACTCAAATTATCAAAAAAGGGAACAACACTGCTGCAGCAACTCGTAGGAGAGCCAGGGTAAGAATGGCAGACAAGTTGCATACACACACACAGTACAGGGATCAACTCACAGAACATCAAATGAGGGGCAAGCAAGATGGTTCAGCTGGTAAAGGGCAGTTCAAGATCAGCAACATGAGTTCAACTGATTCTACAGAGTTGTCCTCTAACCTCAGCACACATGCTAGGGCATGCACACCCACACATAGTACACATACACACAATAATAACATCAGTGTTTAAAAACTAAAACTTGACAGGCATGGTTGAACATGCTTTTTATCCCATCACTTAAGAGGCAGAAGCAGGCAAATCTCTAACATAGAGGACATTCTGGTCTACACAGCAAGTTGTAGACCAGCCAGAGTTATATAGTTATAACTTGTAACAAAACAAAGGCTTCAGGCCTTTAATCCCAGCACAGCAGGTTCAAAACCAGCCTGATATACAGAGTGAGTTCCAGGACAGTCTGAGCTACACAGAGAAACCCTGTCTCGAAAAACCAGAAAGAACACAAAAAACAAGGCAACATTCCCAACAGAGTAACAGGACACATAAAAGGAAAAAGATGTCAAAACAGACTCAGACTCTTGCACATAACTCAAATCGAATGTCTACAAAACTCTGAAACAATGTGGTTCTAAGTGAGCAGTCATTGGCCAGCCAAGAGTTCAAGGAGAATAAAGACATTTCACAGGATGGGGCTGAGCTCCCACGTGTGTGTTCTCAGGAAGCTTCAGAAGGCCTGCCACCAAAATGAAGGCCTAAAGCACAAGGGGACAACCCCAGAGAGGAGTGGATTTCCTAACACAAATTTTATGAGTTCTGTCCCATGAATTACACTTAATAAAAACAAATATTAAAATTTAACCAAATACATTAAGATGACATATAAAGAATTTTTCAGTTAGAACATTTATCCTGTAAAACTGTACTTTAAATCTAAAGAAGTCTACTAGTGGGAGAAATAATTTACTGACTAACAAAGCAACTTAAAAGTTACTTTGAGACAAGTAAAAGTTGAGAAATGTTGGTTCCTAACTGACTAAACAAGAGTTTTATAAATAAAATGAAAAAGTCAAAATTCTGCTTCTGCTAATCACACGGGAAAGAAAACACAGTCTGTTACTGTTAAAGTCCTTGTGGACGCCCCTGCCGATTCCAAAGCAGGGAAGGGCTGTCTAGAGCCTTCTTCATCAAACTGTCCACAAATGTAGCAGGACAGAAAAGAGAGAGAGAAAAGAGAGAGAGAGAGAGAGAGAGAGAGAGAGAAACTTGAGGGAAAGCAAGCGAACATACCCCAGGGCAGAATGGAGAGGGGGGGGGCGGACGGAATGAGGGAAGAATGGAAAGATGGGAGGGCGGAAGGAGCAGGACAGATGAAGGCTATGAAGACCACATAGCTGAACTGCAAGGAAAAATCATGTGATCTCACGGCATTGTTGCCCAGCTATCCTTTCCATTTCAGTAAAGAAAACTAACTGTTACATTAATCCCTAAGATTACTTATGAACAACCAAGCCCTGAGTTTTAGTTAGCATCGCTCTCACCAATTTTGATCATTAACAGCTACATGAAGTCTTAATAAGAGTTTTCATTTCAGGATAATCTCAAATGATAATAGAATTAAAGTATTTTGTATCCTTATTTTATTGAAAGAAACTTTAAAGTATCCCAAGTGATTAATATGATTGTTTTCTGCATATATAATTTTAGTAAACAAAGGGAATAAGGGAAAAATAATTTTTCTGATTTCATAATATGAAGGAATAGAAAACTTAATATGAATACACATTTGGACATTTATACATAAATATAGAACATACAATACTTAATTGTAATATTAAGAAGTACTTGCAAGAAACATGAATGAATGAGAAGGCAATGGAGGGCAAAAGGGTTCAAAGAACACTGTATACATGAAGATATCAATATGATTCATTGTTTTCCACAATGAATAAACACTAAAAACTGAAAAAAAGCACAATTTCAACATTAAAAGCCCACAACACCCTTCTGAATAGTGAAGTCTGACTGCGGAGTCACATACAGCAGAGACAATACTGAAAACCAAGCTCTCTTTGCCAGCAAGTCTAACTGAGACGGGAGAGGCAGGCAAAGGGAGACTGGGGAATGCCCACAGAGGAAAGCATGCCAGAGGAGAACAAAGGCAGCCCGGAAGGATGCCCAGAAGGATGCCCGGAAGGATGGCCGGAGAGCCGAGAGAGAAGACAGCCTGGAGAAAGAGCAAGCAAAGGCAGAGGCCAAATCGAGATCAAAGAGGAAGGAGATAAATCAAAACCACAGCACAAAGTGAAAAGCCATATTGAAATGGTTAAGATTACCTATTTCTATTGCAACTGAGAGCACTAAGGGTTTGTCTAGGGGGAGGAGGGAGGTAGAATGGACCTTTGCAGCAAAGCAGACCCGGGTTATCACTCTTGCTGTCTATAGTCCAAAATCAACAGAAGAGAAACTGCGCGATTTGTTTTCCCTTATGGCAACACTCACCCAACTGTGGAGCAGGCAAGATCCTAGCTGCTCGGACTGGGCCGTGCCGAACAGAGAAGAGCTCCTGGGCTTCCCCGCTGATCTGCATGGGAGAAGGCAAAAAGCAGCTCAGTTTATTAAAATGTGTGGCACAATGCTATCAGATAAAAACATCTAAATTCTATTATGATTTTTGGGAAATATACATACATACATACATACATACATACATACACACACACATAACTCCACACAATACATTATGATTTTAGGGAGCTTATGCATATCAAGTACAGCCCTATCTTAAATTTTGCAAGCATTTTCAGAAAAACATTACAATTCATTATTGGTATGAACTTGAATAATGTCTGTTCTGGAAGTCTGTAGTTTCTATTAACCCATGAGAAGTCTGTACAGCCCTGTGCTCACTCTCCATGCTGGAGCAAAGCAGCTATGAGACAGCTACTAGTCAGTTGTCTTTCTAGAAACATTCAAATCTATCGACCACATTAGTTTGCAATTATAGGACAAGGCTGCTAAAAATAGACCTTCAAGACACCCCTAAATGCAGTTTTCTGTGCTGATAAAGTTGTAAGCAAGCAACTTTAGAAGTCATCACTTTTACTATAAACAAAGATCAAACACTGTAACAATGCCCACTCCCCCTTGAATATAGTCAGAATCTGTGCTTAGATAGAAAGACTACAGTATTCGATTTCTCCAAAAGGCAAAAGGAGGTATGCTAGTATGTATCAAGTTTTTTTTTTTTAAAAAATGTCTTTCAAATCCTGGTTGATCTGATGAGCAAATTAAAACAGAATTAGAGAATAACAACATTCTAGACTGACTGTGGGAGGTAATACTAATATGGTCCTCAGAGCACTGTGCTAATAACAAAGAAAATGGTACGCCTTATAAAATGGGCCCTAAAGATTCAAGAACTTCTAATAGACGTAACAAAGATAAAGACTCATAGAAGGCACATACTATCGATGTTTTAATAGGCCCAACAAATGGCTTAAATATATCCATCATGAAAACTGGTGCCTTCTTCAGCCCTTCTGTGTTCCTTTTAGAGCTGTGAGCCGTAAGCTTTCTACCCTATAAAATCCACTGCGCTTGTGGTGATTCAGACAGCAGCTGGCTGCAGCGGCATGTCTCCCCACTCAGTGTGCCGAGTCCCATGAGCACCCCAGCGAGGACATGCAACAACAGCACCACCTGCCCACGGGCTCAGAGAAGCCCACAGAGCAAAGGCTCCTGTGCACCACACGCCTTCATGGCTTTCATGCCAATAACAAAACCCATGAGCAAAACACACTGTAGCCAAGTCTCCATTCTACGGTAACAGGACAGAATCAAGGAAGAAACGTGGATGATTATTTTGTGAAACTTTCCATCTAATGTATCTAATACACTTTTCTGAAATATAAAATGTACTACATCTTTGGTTTTTGAACACACATATGCTAACAGGTGAGTACTGGTATGGTTTACTTATACTAAAGATTGTTATTGACAAGTTCCAAGTCCCTGCCACTTGAAAACTGGAACAGAAAAAGACAAGCAGAGAATGCTAATGTAAGTCATTATATTATAGTATTTGCTGGACAAGAGATAAGTACGTCTGCTCTTTCATACAATTAAGAAAAAATTAATAAAAAATAGTATAAAACTTAAAGCTGTATACTATAAAGTAATGAAAAAATTCCACTTTTGAGATTTTTTTTCCACTTTTGAGATTTACACCCATAACAAATTACAGTGTGAACACAAACACTCCTATCTGTACTACTGTTTTCATGTACCAGAACTGGTATTCAATTTTGGTTCTACCAAACAAAACTTGAATGTTAAAAGATATAACCTCGTTTTCCTGAGTTTCTGTACTCGGATATACGAAATACTGTTTTAAAAATTTGTCTTGCCATATATGTTTGGTATCACTGAATACACAAGAGCAAAAAAACACAGAAAAACAATTCAAAATCCAAACACATGAAGCTTTACAGTAAAACAACTTTCAGAATAAACCAAACTCCCTGTTCCAAACTGAACGTGTTTTCACATGTCCAGCCACAGGTGAGAACGACAAACCCAGAGGAAAGATTAAAAATGCATGATCCTATACACTGTCCACACCTCACAGCCTGAGTTAGGGCTCATCAGAAGGAGAAAGTGCCGTGCCACATGTACAGAGAGCTGTGAATCTACATGACTCCAGACTACATCTGGCTGAAACCAGGAGCTTAATTCTAACTGCAGAACGCAAGTCACAAGTATCAGCCTCCGGGGAAAGAACCCTGCAGGTGATACATGAAAATCCTGAACCAGAGCAACGCTGCGCAGAGAGTGTTAGCAAGGCATATCCAGATAGAAAGGACACAGACGTACAGGGATGCTTCCCAGCTGCCCCTAATGCTGTCATTCAGTGTGTTCGTGGGTAACTTTGCTTTCAAATAAATACCACAACCGTGTTAAAAGCAGTATTAAAAACTTTTGAGTTTCCTAGAGAAAAGATTTCTGGAAATGACAAGGGATCCCGGCGATGAGGACCCGGAAGCCTGAAAAGAAGCAGCAAGCTCACTTCTAAACTGACAACCCAAGAGCAGCAAGGACAGCAGCAGGGAGAGTGGACAAGGAATCCCAGCAGCTGCGCGGCAACAGGAGAGGGCACTAGAAGGGGCCTCATCCCAGCTCCTCCCCGTCTCCCTGCCTTTGTTCTTGCTGGCATTTTAATTTCTGATGACAGACTTTTGTTGTTTGGGGCATAAACCGGACGTACCAGTTTGAAGGCACAATAAGGAGAACAAAGAATGATTTGTTCACACTGTAGGAAAAAAAAATCTTTCCAACCATAGAAAATAGCTTTCGCATGGTGAAAATATGCAAATTACATACCAAACTGGAAGGGGGTGGGGGAATCCAAGTTTAGACTCTCACAGCTCAATCTAAGGAAAGAGAAATTACAACTCTCGAGACGACAATACACACACAGATCTGGAGGAGCTTGGAGAAAACTTCCAGAGAACTGTAAGATCAAATGAAGGTAACCCAGCCCTCAGGAACCAGCCAGAGTGGAAAAACTCAATCCAGCACTGAGGACGAAGAAGGTGGACCTCCACATTGCTCCACCCTGCCCTGCAGGAACAGAACACTATGCTTTATGAATGGCCTTTTTTTTTTTGACAAACTTTACTGACAGGCAACAATCTATTTAAAATGTGCAGATCATTAGCTACGTGTAAAAATTAATCAATGTTCCTTCCATAAAGCATCTATGTTACTGACATATACCAGTTAAGCTGGCAGCAAGTGCTCAGAAGGCAGAGGCAGGAGAATCTGCACTAAATTTCGAGGCCAACCTGGCCCATACGAGGAATTCAACACTGGCTAGGGCTACAAAGTGACACTCTGTCTCTACAAAAATTAGTAAATAAATAAATGACAAATAATTATGAAAATTTAAAACGCTTACCACATCCCTCCCTAGTCATAACCACAACCTTCTAGGTCTGTACACAGGTTTGAATTACTGAACACAGAATAACTGGGGTCATATACAGTATACTCTTGTATAATTTTTTCCACATTACTGGCTAAGAATCAGTTCACGCTGATGCACATGACTGCAAGGTTCTTCTTTTTCTATTGCTATGAACACTCCCGTTGGATGAAAACATATGATTTTACATAGCACACTACCGACAGGCCTCCACTATGTTTCGAGTATGGACCTAGCAGAACTCCAGCTTCCTGGTCCTCAAGAAAGCAGGACATGGCAGCACACAGCTATAACCCAACACTCCAAGGCCCAAACCTTTAAAATTATAATGTCTCGACTCAAACAAGCAAACAAACATACAAACAAACAAAATCAAGAGACTAAGTCCCAGGTCTAAAGTTCTTTGATCACAGATCCAAGTTCTGCCTGTTGGGCTGTACAGAGTGAGTGCAAGACCAACTGAGGGAGCCCCTACCAAAAAAACAAACTTAGGAATAAGCAGTGCTAGGACGTAGCTCAGTGCAGCAGTATACACGACTGAAGCGCTAGGTTGCTGGGAGCTGCGGACCCTCAGACCATGAACATCCTATGATCTCTGCCTGCTCGAGTAAACAATTTGTCTTTCTATGCTTACAGCTGTACTATGCATGAAATCTCATGAGTTCCTGATAACAGGGAAGTGGTTTCTGGAGGGCTTACGGTAGTAAATCCTAAGAGCGAGGGCGTGGCCACTAGTCAAGGAGAGCACTATATAAGCTGCCCTGGAACACAATAAAGTTGGCATTCTTGTGTCTCTCTGAGTGTTCTTTACTCCCCAGACCCTTGCCTGACCACAGTTCCACGTGGTGCAACTAGGTTCAATATCCAATTCCACCAAAAAATACACACTACACAAAAATAAATCAAAAGGAGAATTCACTAATTCTTCCAATAGACTGACTACCTAACAGGTAGTCTCTAGATGTCACCATATGGTCACCGAATTTCACAGAAGTCTATACTACTTTCTTTGAGCTATTTTACAATACTCTAAAGTACCAAACCTGACAGTAATCATTTTTTCTGAGTTGGTAGAAATTTAACCCAGGGCCCTGTACACACCAGGAAGGACTCTACCACAAGCCACATCTCTAGTCCTGCAACTTCTTGCTGACCAGCATGTGAAGTTCGGTAAAGAGGCAACTGAATCTACTTTTTAAAAAGATAATTCCAGCCAGAGGCAGTAGTACAGGACCACAGGACTACAGGACCACACTTGTAGTCCCAGAAATTGGGAAGCGGGAGCAGAATCACTTACACACAAGTTAAACCATCTTGTGCACACAGGAAGACACAGGTACAAAAGCAAACTCTCCTTAGTACTTTATAATATGCTCTTAACCTTTGAAGGGGAGGGAGGGCACTGGAGACGGATTCTGGGTAGGAAAGCAAACCCACTACCCTTCCGGTCAGGTGCTGGGCAGCAGAGCTACCTTCCAGCCCAAACGCTGGTTATTGCAAAGAGGATGTTGATGTGGTTTGCATTTATTAGAGTGCACACCAGTGTCCCTGCCTACCTTCAGCTGTTCTTCATATTGTCCTTTCCTTAATTAAATATG